ATATATATATATATATATAAATATTTTTATTTCTTGATTGCTATTTGATTAAAATTAAAGCGAAAGTTAGTATCATATAATGATTGAGAAACACTGGAAACATTTTTTAATTTATATGTGCATTCATATGTGAGGTTTGTTAGTGTATGCATATGACTTTCGTGAATTTTCCAGAGCAACCTGCAGAACGAATTTCTTGTCTCAAAATCAAATGGACGACGAATGCATAGCCGCAAGACTGACATATGATATTCCAATTTCACGAAGTTTCTGCGATTTTTAATAAATAAAATATCAAAAGATATTCTTTCTTTTATTTCCATTATTGAAATTTAAAATCACATACATTGCAAGTATCACAAAAATTAGAATAATAATATATTGTATAATATCTTGTCTTTCTTTTTCACAATAATAATATTGTGTTAATAAAGAAATTTTTTTTCAAGAAATGTAAAAATTATGGATCTAGAAAAAAAAAATAAACAAAATGCGTTAAAAGATCCTTATCGATCTTGCGAAAGATAAATTATTTCGGGCTCAAGACAATAACGTCTGTCGCAAGTGATTCACAGCGACAGTTTAACGTCCTGCTGCTTCTTCAGAAGAGACGAGCAAGTCACGAACCGTAAGAGTGTCCTATGGAAATCTAACAATGAAAGCGAAACCACCGGTTCCAATTATGTCCATGGTTTGTCATGTCGTGACGATTCGGAGTAGGTGCATGGCTATATATGCTACGAACAATGTTAATATCCTTCAGTTTCTTCAAAACGAAATAATACGACACGCCCTCAAGAATTACTCTCTTTTGATAATTCTAATTTCTTCGAAGGTATGTTTCTTTCAAAGGAGATAGAATCATCAAAAAATAATGTTCTTAATGTATAATGTTTTTTTTTTCAAATTTTATTTTCATAGATGCTGCTTAATCTTCAAAATCTCATCTTACTCTTATTTTCTTCAATGGCGATTGTTAGAAGCAGTCCAAAATTTGATGATAGAGGGTAAGATTCTTTTTAGATCTGATTAATGATTGTAAAAATATATTTTTATCTATAAGATACAATTGATTTTTTTTATTTCTAATTTTTTTTTTCTAAACAATGAGCTCTCTATTTATCTTTAAATTTTAAATTCTCTATTTATAAGTAAAAGTCTCTTTCTTTAAGCGAAATAAATTGTAAATAGATTTATACCGAGTTCCATGATTTATATGGATAAAAGTGCAAAGTCTCAGGATCAACTTGCTATGCCTTCTCAAGCAGAACTTCGTAATGAGACTTCAGCGAAACGGAATGACATGGACAGTAACGATATCACGGATCGCAGTCAAGAACCTCGATTCAGTTTCACAAATCTTGGTAGCACAGGAAGCGTAAGTCATATTTCTTCTTGTTTCTTTAAACATGTCTCAATAATTATAATAATAATAATATTATAATAATAATTATAACAATAATAGTAATGTAGAAATTGGTACAGGGTTACGGAATATCAACGTATGCTCCGGCAAAAATAGATTTAGGAGGATTATTCTTGGGTGCTATTATAGGAATAGGTTCCATCCTCATTATTCCTAAATTGCTCTACGTCCTTTCTGGTACTTATGGTCATTATGCAAGAAGTAAGTTACTTTAAATTTTAATAATTAGTGATTAATTCTGTATTGATATAGAATTAAAATTTTTATCATTAATTTTCTAACAAAATATTTATTTTAGGCGAAGAAAGCGGCTTCACTCAAATAATGACAAAAATGGATGATGTCCTGGCCCATCATGGTATCGATACAACATCCTGCATGCAACGAATCGTGTGTACTTATTCGCAACAAGCTTCTTCGTCTGTTAAAGAGGCCAATAAATTAAATAACGATGAAAAAATTTCGTCCTTTGACCGTGTGATTGATACGATTACGACGAATCAAGTTTTCCGTACAACTATGGAAGGAACCGCGATACAGGAGGCAGTGGAAGCAGGGAGAGCTGGTCGAAACTGTTCGCGGATTTATCCTCATTGCGGATTCTCTATGGAAACTATGTTATCCCTTTTATCAAACGTAATTACTACAATCGCCGCAATTAACACAGGAAATTCCACGCCTACAGGAACTGGGACTTTATAATATATAATAATGTCAGAGGTCAAAGATTCTGATGATATGAATATTCTAATTCGATTAAAATATAATGAATTCTCAGAAGCGTATGTTTTTAAACAAACAGCATGATAATGAAAATCAATACTATATTACAGATGATATTATATAAAAATTTATATATAGTTCCATTTTATTAAATAATCTATTATCACAAATAGAATCAATTTCCTATCGGGAAATTTATATCCTAATTATAAATAGTAAATAGTAATTGCAGACAATTTTTAATAAATTAAAAAGGACAAATAGTATAGTGATTTCCTTTTACATTTATTTGATTTTGTATATATGAATTAAGAAAAGTGAAATTGTTTCCACGTAAAGTGATGGAACTGTTGGTTCGCGCAATTTAGCATGTAATGTGACAACTTTCCTAATAGAGACACGTGTTTTTTATACAATCAATACAATCTTTAAATAAGGCAAATAAGACCGTATAGAGTTAAATGGTATAACGATTTATCTTTTAGTATGAACACAATGTTTTGATCATTCAATATAGATATAATTTCTTTACAATGTATATAAATATATAATCACTTCTATTAATGTATGAATCGCGTGCGAGGTTCTGATTCCTAAGAGAAATAAAACAAAATTTTATAAGATTAACATCGATAAAAATAAATATCAAATACTAAATAAACCATATTAGAATTTAAACTTCAAAATACTTTTTGAGGAATTCATAATCAATGATAGATTATAGAATATTGTGATACATCAGATTAGTAAATGTAAGTAATCTTATAATCTTTGTAATCTTATTTTTACAAAAAAATATTGGACATTCTTTATTATATTTTATATATATAATTATCTATGCTTATCCTAGAAATTCTTTGGTCCTTAGCAAAAACTTTTGTTGAACGCATTATTAAGCAATATAATTTAATAACTGATATTAATAAACTTAATAAACAAGCAATCAAGCATGATGCCATTGACCGATTTTATCTTAAGATAATTATATAAATAGATAGACAACATTAAAGCAATTAATGCTGTAATGAAGTTCATATTACTTAATAATATACATTTAGATGAACAACATTAACTATTTTATAAACATTATTTAACTTTTATAAGAATAAAATCTTTGGTAATTGTAATATTGTTCGATGTACCGTATATGAGCACCGTTAATTGCTACAAATATTTTTGTACCTTTTTCTTTTTCATTAAATTGGCAACGAGGTTTTTTTTCAATATAATACAATATAAATTTTCAATAACTTTCATTTTATAGAAAAACAATTATTTCATGTACTTTCGCTTTGGTAGAAGGAGTATAGCTCCTATAGCGACACACACGTGCCACAAACTGTGCACAATATAATAATTACTCCTTGTCTGCAGAAATGCGTAACAAATGAGGCCGACGGAAACTAATAGAAGACCAGCCGGAAAATAAATGTTCCTGTAAATATAAATAAATTTCACTTTATATAATGCAAATAATATTGGCATTTATGAATTTCTAAAGAAAAATAACTTACCTATAAGGACGTGATGGATAACGAATCGTACCTCTTCTCTTGCATCTTATACCCCAAGAAAAACCAATCAATGCAGAACCCGTTATGGCTGGCAGAAGAAATACCCAGAGGGCTGTACGATCCATTTCAGCACTCATAGCGAGAATAACAGCTCCAGTTATTTGACAAAAAGCAGTAAGTTTCGGTCCGAACGAAGCCATTGCTACTAATGTTACCCAAATAGACAAAAGAGCGTTGAAGAAGTCGCAGAATTGCAACACACTCAGTCTCATAATGCATACGCTGTATACATCTTCTCCAGCTTCACAAGCATGATAAAATGTTGAAAAGAACAATACAGCAGCGTAAACTATAGCTTCTGTGAAATATTGTCGACGTATTGCCACGTAAACAGAAGCAATGAAAGCCAAATTGCTGCATGTTAACATTAATACTCGGACTATTATGTCGCTGTTGCTGAGTACATAAGTATCATCCGCACAATCAAAACCTCGGTAAGCACCTGAACAATGACATGCGGCAAATACAAAACCGCCACTCATATAATGCATACATTTTCCGCGAGAATTGCAGCGACCTTCGATGCAAGGTAATGAAGAAATACGACTCTCTACTCTGGCATCACAGGGATTCATGCAATCACAGTCTTCACATATAGTATTATTCAAACAGGTTCCGATACAATGGCAATTTTCCTCCACACAAAATGCTTTCAAACTTATATGCCAAATTCCTGGTTCTGGAAATGGAATGTGAAGAGTAGCTGGCCCTGTGGAATTCACATAAATGTCCGCGATCGTTGTATTTTCCATACGTGTACAACTTCCACCGGCAGTGATATTCGAATAATAACCTAATAGAACAGGAATTGCTTGAATAATAAAATTTCGTTTTTCACTCAATTTTTAATTGCTCACCTAATGAAATGCAAGCGATCACAATGATATTCTTTTTTCCTTTATCTTTCACGTCAACTATTTTCAATCCTATAGTTAATGTACCACCAACATCATATACTCTACCGATTTCGAAACTAAGGACGGATAAAGTATTTGAAGTTAAATTAAAAGCTGATGGTTTTATACTGTTTCCTTGCAGATGTTCATAATCAAAAAGAAAAAAATCAGGTAAGGATTTCCTCATTAAATCCACTAACTTCACTTGATCCAAGTCATAAGTGGACGAATTATCGAATAACTGCAAGGATACTTTCGAAGAGTTTCCAGAAAGCAAACGAAGAGTTACATAATGAAACGCATCTGAATAAGGCTTGAAGAATACAGTGCCATTTGTAGTATTCAATATCATTCCTGTCAAATAATCTTCTGCGGTCACATAAACCGCGATCGTGCATTCTTCACCGCAACTTGATGTAAATAATAAATTAGATTCCACGAATTCATCGGGAATTAATAACTGTATTACAGCTGAATCCATGCTTTCATTCATATGCACCTCATATTTCCATTTTGGATCCATTGACGAAACTATAGAAGCAGATTCTAATAATAATTCTGCATCTAATATAGTATCGCACGATGCTCCAAGTCCTGCAAATATGTAATAATATATACGTTATATACTATTACGTCATTAACATCAACTCTTCTTTGTTTATAATTTATTCATTAATTTGGTAATTAACCTTGTTGTGTAATCTTTCCATTATCAGGATCGCTCCAAGATCGAAACGCAATGGCATACCAATCGCCCGGCGAAGGTGCATCAATTCTTATCGAATCATTATATCCATTACTTTCCATATCTAAAGAATAATATCGACGTCTCTCTTTCATAAGTTTTGCTGCTATCTTCGATCCATCAGGTCGTACAAATGGTAGACTGCCAGATTTCAAAAATATAGAGACATTTCGAGCCGAACATCCACCTATTCCACTAATTTTTTCTTCTTTTACAGTGAACCTAAAGATACATGAATCATATTTATTTATTTTTTACAGTAAAAATAAAGGAATTGAATTTTTTTTATATTCAATTTTAATCAAAGTTTACTTGAATTTTGCAGCGACTGTGCAATCCGGAACATTGAAGTGGATAATAGAGATGTGACGATAGGCATAATAATCGTCGAGAACATTGTTGGGTCGATGAGCAACTCGCTCGAGTTTGCCGCACAGACCTTGTTCTATCACGAAAATCCATGCCAATGAAATGACTAGTACGTCTCGCATATTATAGATCCTACGATTCGCCACATAACAAACTACTTCTACGACTAATTGGAGAAGATGTGTTTTAACAATCTACACAGATAAAATATATTTATAAAATATATTTTTAATCTTTTTTTTTCTTTTCTTTAATAAAAAAAAAATTTTTTGTTTTTTATTGTGATTAATTCGAAATTTAAAAAATTCAAGTCATGATGTAATCATTTTAAATTGCATGATATTATTTAAGATTACCATTTTATGTAATTTTGCAACATAAATGAAGAAATATTCCAATTTATGATAATTCTCAAGAAGGAAATGATATAATAGGAGTTACACCTTCGCAGATTTTTTCATTTTAAGTATTAACGAAGATTTGCGCGATATATACGATCAAGTAAGTAGGTCAAATTTCATTACCAATTCCCGCGTTTCCTGCGTTTGTAAGATACGATAGTTTAATTTCTTTATGTTTCCGCGATATGGAACAGAATTGTTACTTGTTATTGTAAATATAGATATTTCAATTCAATAAAAATTAAGAAATAAAATAATGATAATTTAAGAATTTAAATTAAATTAAATTTAAAGTTAATCAAAATCAAGTTTTATTAAATTTAATAATTAAAAATAAAATTTTAAAAATAAAAAAAATAAAATTAAAAATAATTAAAAATAATTAAAAATTTAATAATTAAATTTAATAATTAAAAAAATGATTTCAAATAAAAAGTAAGATTATAATAAGGATTATAATAATAAGAAAAAAATATAAAAGTTATCTGATAACTTACGAACTACGATTACAAATAAAAATTGAAAAACAAGAGAAAAACAATTCTTCAAGTTCGATATAACTTGAAATAAATTATCCAAGCATTATGCATTAAATTATATATGAAAAATTGATTTCCTAATACCAATCAATTAAAATTTAATAGTTAATTGATGTTTTGTTTGCGAGCTCGTTTTTATAATTTATTTGGTACAATTATCAGCGAACATATTAATTAATTTCTATTTCGCACATATAATTTAATACATAATATATAATATAATCATATTTCAATTTAATTCAATTATAATCAATTATCAATCAAAAGTTATTTAATATTTACACAAATATTTTGTAGAATAATACATAAAAAATGTTAAATATCTATTTAAAAAAAATGAAACGATAAAATTAATTATTATGAACTTAATATACATTTGATTGATTTATACTTGATTAAGTTAAATACCTTAATGTGAGAGCAACGTGGCAATTTGTATCTTACGTATTAATATATGTACACATTGATATCCGATTAATGTTGTTACACACGTTCATAATGTTCTATGCTTCACATGCAGTCGAACAGATTAAGTTTTTTTAAACGATACTGCTTGATAAGCTATGACAAATAAAATCAATTGTTCCGATTATCTTTGCTCGGTATAGCAACAAGTGTCTTTAAACAATAGTCATTTTAAATCTTCATCGTTAGACAAGTTTCTCAACCAATCTAAATTAGCGCGCGAATTGTCGACAATTCTATGAATTTTATCATTGCCAATTAAATAATTTTGCCGATGTTAAAAGAATGGCGACTGAGTATGTGATTATCGATCAAATTTAATACATATTAATATACACTGTTAAAATTTTTTATTAAAATTTATAAATTCATACTCATACATACAGTTTAATTTGTGTTTCTAGGAAGAAATAACACTAGTAATCCAAGCAAAAACCTCACTAGTCTTGGTCGTTATATCTTTCTGTAGACCGATCATCGATAATAATAATCATGCGATTTTGTACGTACATATAGGCGCGAGAATACGTACCGGAAATTCATAAGAACACGTGGTCACTTTGACAACTATTCCTGATCTCACGTGAGAGTGCGTTCGTAGTCGCTCAACAGAATAAAAATCTCCGGGAGTTGTTTATTGATCGTTAAAAATTGGTGCTATTATTCATCGGTTAAATGCACTAATAATGCAGAGATTTGGTGTAAATGAAGACTCGATGTATTAAATAAATTGATGTCTATAACTGTTTGGACTAAATAAACTTAAAAATTAAAAAAAGATTCACAATGATTCAAGATTTCTTTTTGATCGGGCGGTTAATAGACAATTGAGACTGTGTCGCGTTGTCGAGGCGCAACTCCAACACGTGGGTCGATCAGCTGAGTTGCTACGCTCACTCGAAACTTTTTAATGTGATCAGCATCGTAGGTTTTTGACTAATATTATTTTTATCTCTCATTGTATAATTTCTCATGTAATCTCTTTTCCTTATGAGATTTGTTGTTATAATATAATCTTAGTTATTTCTTTTCTTTCTTATAAATAAAACTATGAAAAAATATTATATTTTTGAAAAATAAATCGTATAATTTTTGCAATTAAAAATAAAAATTGTCACAATTTTGTAAAATATTTTTTATATTTATACATATAAAAATATAATGATATATATGTCTAAATTTTTATAAATTTTAAATAAATATATTTATATTTGTTTTTTATAAATTTAAAATAGAAGAATAATTTTCATTAAAATTCCCAAGTATCCATCCATCTTAAAGAATGCATTGGACTTTCAGGATCTAATGAAGAAGGACCAATCATACCATAAGCTAATGGAGAAAACAAATAAAAACTGTAAATAAATAAATTAATTAATAAATATATTCATATGTATATATATATATATATGTGTGTGTGTGTGTGTATGTATATTCATTATTTAATTGCATTTTTATATTTACCTATATGTGATACTTGAAATAACAATAGCCATTATTGTATGATATATAACATATCCAAATTTGTTTGGAAATAAAATAATTAAACTTTCAAGAATATAATTTAAAGTTGTTCCACTTAACATTGAACTATATAATAGAGCTGGGAAATAATGATGAAAATACAAAACTCTAGTCATTGCCCAAAATGGTGCATAATGCAATATCCAACCAATAAAAAGCCATTTTCCTGCATTTAATATTTTATTTCTTTGTTCAAGGATAGCAGGACTTTCTATACAACCACGTTGTTGTCTTACACAAGCGTGAATGTATAATATGATAAAAAGTATTAAAAATATAATATTACCCCACCAAATAATAGGATTTCCAAGTAAATATATCCTTAAACTGTTACCAGAAAAGAATTGACCCTGAAAAATTTACTATTTAATTATATTTTTTTATTTTTTTGAGATTATATAACATACTCTATAATTAATAGGCCACTGCCAAGGACGTGATGATACTTCTCCTTCTTTAACTTTCAAATCAGAATTTCCTTGCAACATTACTGCATGTGATTCCAAAAATCTATCTAAAAATCTAGGTGCATATACTTGAAAACTGACATTTGGTACTGTAAAAAACATTAAATAGTAAAAATGCTATATGCTATGAAATATTATATAATTATATTTAATTATTTGATATTTATTGTAATAATAAATATTGAACACACTAACATTTTGCATAATTATTATCTTCAATATTCCATAGTGCATTTTTGTCTCTCATATTTGGATTACATGAAACTTCTTGTTGACTATAAGCCCTAAAGAATAATTTTTGCATATGTAATTAATAATTTTTGCATATGTAAATTTTTTTTTCTATTTTGTTACTTGAAAATATATTAAATTTTGTAACTAACCATTTTGGTAATGTTTTACCACTGCATGTTAAAACACAGTGATATAGACAATGCACAAATTTTAATTTACTCGTCACCGTTTCGATTACATCACCATCTTTACCATTTGCTATTAAAACTTTCCATACATCATTAGCATCACCAGTACCATTCTATAAAAATAAAGATAGATTATTTTTAAATTATTATAAATAAAAAATTAATATAAATTAAATTATTATAAAAAATAATTACTTCACCATATCCTGTAACTTGATAATGTTTTTTAGAAATAGGTGCAATTTCTTTATGTGAATGCAAATTTCGATGAGTAATAACATGTTCTAAGCGTATAAGATCACCATGTTTTACTAATATCGGTTCTGATGGTATATCATCAGTATCAAACATTTTTATAAGCCACAAATTATTATCATCTTTATGCGAATAAGTTGTAATCTAATGAAAAAACATTAAAAAAAAAACAAAAAAAAAATATAGTATAAATGTAATATAATAATAGTAAATAATAATTAAATAATAATATAATAAGATTAATACTTGTTGTTGTCTAGCTCCAATGCCTTCTGGATAAAGATGCCAATGAGAATGTAAATATCCTCCACCAGTTCTATGGTTTTTTAAAGTAATTGTAGCTCCATATGCCAATTGTCGTGGCATTGTTGCATTATATAAGGAATTTCCTTCTAATAAAGATTGAAACTCAGAACTATAAAATCCATCTCCACTTCCACTATAATTAAATATTTCAAATTATATTCATTATATATTTATATCTATATTATATATTTATAATATAATTATTATATTATTTTATTAAAAATTTGTATATATATAATAAAAAAATTTTCACCTTTTACTTAAAACAGTAAGATGAATATAAAAGAATAACATGTACAAAAATATTGGTATAAAAATTAGACAAATACATCGTGCTAATAAATGTTTTCCTACATTTATCTGTAAAAATTGAATAAATAAATTAAAATAGTTATCTTTTGATGATGATGATTATTAAATATATATTTATAAAATAAAATTATAAAATAAAATACTAAATTTATAAAACTTACAATAGGTTTTGTGAGATCTCCTAATTCTCTCCATAATTCAAAAGCAGTATTAAATCCAACTAACAAAACAACAAACAAACCAACAAATTTTACACTGATTGTACAAGCAAGAGAAATTCCTGTGAATAATAACCAACCCCACCATTTCCATGTAAATGGTTCATTATAAAGAGAACCTACACGGGTCATACCCCAAATTGCACACATCATAAAACATAATAATATAGGATCCAATAAAATATATTGATTTAATGTCAATAATCCCACATCTAAAATATATAAATTATAAAGCAATATACTTATTTTATTACACATTATATATATTAAATAAACACAATATCATATATAAATACAATACATACCAAACAATATAAATAATGCAGAAAATGTTGCTGCTTGAATAGATTTTGTTAAATCCCATATAATGAGATATGATAAAGGAACTATAGTTGCACCTAAAAATGTACAAAACTGAAACATAGAATAAATTTATTTTATTATTAAATATTTTATGTTTATAATCTTTATATTATGAAGTATACTTACAATTCTCATACCAACATATTTAACATTTTCAAATTTATCTCCTGGTTTTTCAAAGGGAAATGTTCCATCATAACCAGTTACATATCCAGATAATGCTATTAACATCTAAAATATGATATTTTATAATATATATAACAAAATAATATATATATATGTTATTTACCTTTCCAAGAGGTGGATGAACATCAAAGAAAAATGTTCTATTTATATACCAACTTCCCATTTTACCAAAATGAGTCTCATCCCAACTAAAATATTCAATATTTATATAAATTAAATATAAATTTAATGCAACAATATTTCTTAACAAATAACTTACCAAACATGTTGTGGTTCTGTAACTTTATAAAATCTTGTTCCTGCTGTGAGTATTATAATAATTCCAAATAAAAGCCACCAATTCCTGTGATTACATTATGAAAATATATAAAAAAGAAAAACAATTTAAAAAATTCAAAACAAATTAGAATATAAAGAAAAATGTTTAAAAATTCAAAACAAATTAGAATATAAAGCTACGTACAAATCGGTTGTTTCCCTTTTTTCTGTAACTTTAGATATCTTATGTAAATTTTTTATTTTGTGTGTACATTCAGAATTACTTATATTCTTCATGTTATTATTATTAATTATTATAATAGTTCACAGAAGCCACGAACGTGATTCAGAGAGGTAAATTGAATTTCGGGAGTTAACAACTTCTTCGGTTCATTCAGATAAATTTTGAATAGATTGGCAAGTACGTACAAATAAAGTTAAAATAATATTGAAATGAAATAAATACATAGAAAGTTTATTGAATATAATAACTATAATATATTATTATACAATTAATAATGTTTAGATTTTGATACATGCATCTTACTATATACACAATGTATATAATATAGTGTATATGAATTCAAATATGCTAACGAAATAAAAATGCACATTGTATTTTTCATTTATATAATAATTTAAATTAACTTTATGTATAATATTCAATTATAAAAAATATTTAAATTATTTTATATTTCAATATAAACTTATTCTATTTCAAAATTTTTATTTTTTTTAAGAATATCTTAAAAGTACCGCTATGTTTTGCAGAGAAGTAGGATTATAAAAATGGATCTTCATTGTTTCATTTTATTATTGATTTTTTTAAATTAAAAAATTGAATATATTTCAAAATTATATAAAATTCATTTATTTTTAATTATTAGTAAATAAAGGTTATAGAAATATTTTAAGTTAATTTCAATTTTAATTGTTGATAAAACTTTGAGTAAATAAAACGGTAATTCATATCTTTGATATAAATTATATTTATTTAAGTAAATTATTTTAATTTAAATCATTGATTATTGTAAAGCATATGTAAATAAATATCTTAATAAATAAAAATAACATCATTATTATTTAAAACTATATACAAATGTGTATTCCAATATATTTTATAAAACTATTTTAATACAGGTCTTGAATATTTTTGATGTAAAATGGATGTATTGAACATGTATAATCAAAAAATAGTATTACCTGGTCCATCAAGCCGAAAACGATTATTAGACAAGTCTTTATTAGATGTACAAAAATTAAATACAACTATACATAAAGAAAAAGGAACAGATTATATAGCAGAATATGTACAAAAAGAAGAAAATAAACTTTTACAGGTATGTAATTTACAATTTAAGCATTATTTAACATCCTATTTATTTATGATATTTTTAGACTGCAAATTATTATAATACAAATAAAGGAAATTTTGATGATGTATCACAAGGAACAGATGCTATACAAAATATACAAAATGAAGAAACAATGAATATTTATAAAACATATCAATTTGTTTATCATACAAAACCTAATTTAGTAGTTACTTCTAAAAGAGATCAAATAGTGTCTATGATTGAAACTAATTCAGTTGTAGTAATTCAAGGACCAACTGGTTGTGGCAAAACTACACAAGTACCTCAATTTATTTTAGATTCCTGTTATAAAAAAAAACTTCATTGCAATATTATAGGTAATTTTATTTTATTTTATAATAATATTTAATTTACTTTAAATAAAATTCTTTATATTTTTATAGTTACACAGCCTAGGAGAATTGCTGCTATAAGTATTGCAAAACGTGTCAGTAAAGAAAGAGATTGGCCAGTAGGTACTCTTGTTGGATATCAAGTGGGCCTAATAAATCATACATCCAGAGATACACGTTTGACATATTGCACTACTGGAGTTCTTTTACATAAATTAATAAATAGCAAAAATATGTTGGAATATACACATGTTATATTAGATGAAGTTCATGAAAGAGATCAAGATATGGATTTCCTTCTTCTTGTTGTTCGAAAGCTTTTACATACAAATTCACGTTCAGTAAAAGTTATTTTAATGTCTGCTACATTTGAAGTAGAAAAATTTGCTAAATATTTTTCTTCTCCTGTGGGAAATAAACTTGTTCCTGCACCTATTATTGATATACCAAAAAAAACTTTATTTAATGTTGGTATTTATTATCTTTGTCAGATGACTGTATTAGGACCGGTAAATGTTTAATATTAGTATTTAAAATAAAATAAAAATAATATTTAATTGATTTGATTTATTTAAATGTAATATATTTAATAATATATAATTTATATATTTTTTTAAATATATTTTATTATATTTTTTATAGATACCTGAAATTAATGCTACTAAACCAAATATTACAAAA